AGTCCTAGCGAGGTACAGACAGCGACGCCGCATCTCATGTTGTGGCCTGTACCTCATTTTTCAGGCTACGTCCGCGTGTACTATCGATCGAGTTAGCGACAATGATTCCTTCGCTCGCATAGTCTCGTCCTCAAAGCCTTGCATCATTTGATATGATACTCTCAAGCTTTGCCTGGAATGTTTCTTCTTGGAAATCACTCGGAGCAAGGACAAGGTCGTCTGCCTGATTGTTTCCGGTCATCGGCCGACGTCTGGGTTTTCACAAAGGGATACTTCGTGCGAAACGTTACGTCTAACATACTGCCTATCGGCTTACTAGTTGTTTAGACGAGCGGTGGGAATTTTCTCGTAGGTGTTCCGGCGTCACCTCGGTTGGGCTCTTAGACAGATGGGACTTTTGTTCCTTCCGGGGATTCGGGGGCCATACTCGTCGGGACACTTAAAATTAGGATTCTCCAAGTCGATCTGATCCAGCACAGTAGATAGTAAGCACCCATGAAGTGAAGTAGGCAAGGAAGCACGCCACGGAGGTAGACGTATTGTGCGAGCGACCCAAGCAGCGACAAAGTGGACACGCGGCCTCTATGCTAGCTATCAACGATTTCTAGGAGCTTCTATGGCCAAAACAATATTTTCTACCCAAACCGCCATCAATATGCGATGACTCTCTCCGAGAACATATTGTCTGGTGCAAAAACAGCTTCAGCTCCCACTCTATCTTCCAAATTTAGCGTGCGCGTGCGCTGTAACAGCTAAAAACGAGCGGCTAACATGTCCAAAAATGACGTCTTTGCCTCCTGCAAGCCCATAAGTATTCAACCTCCCATTTCTGCTCTTGCTCCCGTTTTCCCCTTAGCAGGGGTTCTCGTGCGGTGCTTGTATTAGCTGGGTAGCTTGAAGGCTATTCTTCGGGTGTTCAGCATCCTATCTACAGCGGCTGAAGCGGCGCCTGTTGTCAGCGACACGAATGTTGTACGTGATTATGAGGTAAAAGCGAGTGTTGGTGTCTTTAATCGTTGTTCAATCGGCCAGTGACCAACGCAAATCGGATCGTAGCCCTCACCGCTTTCATGTTGGGTTTCCACTTCGGTCCATCGGACGAAGATTTCCCCTCAACATAAGATGAAATGTTGCCTCTCTGTGTCTCTGTGCATTCTGTCATCTCCTGTCGATGTGCCTCCCATCTTGGGCAGCGGAAGAGGAAATGCTTAATTGTTTCGCATTCGAGTTCGCACGTACATTGGCTTGACGGCACCACTCTGATCTGGTGCAGGTATTCATTTAGCCTGATCATGTAGGTCCTACTGTAATGCGCCGGTGAGTGTCCTATTGCCATGCTTTAGCCCCGCCCTTGTTTAAAGATAGCTTCGTGATGCCGTGGGCTATTTCCAAATGGCTAGCGACCTGCGACGAGCAGGAACACAGCAGAAATAGGCTCAACAAACGGTGGGGAAGAAAAGGGCAGAAAGAGCTGTAGGAGGAGAGCAAAATCTCGATCCTGTCTCAATTCAAGGTGAAACGCGATGGCTGACCAGCGGAATCGTCCGGCTAAGTTTGTCCAGCAGAAGATCTGGCAGCAGCCCTTCTGGGTATATATTCATATAAGTCCAAACAAATCTCCGATGCACTGCCTTATTTGTATCGTTAACATTAAATATGCGAGCTGCGAGTTTCTGCATCGTGTTCGGCCTTGCCGCTCCTACACTAGGCTCCCCAACGACTGCAGCGCAGCCCGCAACAGTTGGGCGTTGGCAGCCGCTGGAAAGTCAAAAAGTTGTGGATCTTGAAGTCGTATATGGCAAGGATGTAAAACAATTATTTAAGACGCCGTGGAATACTTGGGTAGCTAATGTGGACGTGATCTTTCCGGAGTCTACCTACACCGTACCATATACGGCCACACTGCCTACTGCCGCCATAGCGGCCTCTATCTCATGGTCGGCAACCTCTACTGACGCTGCCACCACTACAATGTTTCTAAAGGCTCCAGAATATGTCATATCGAACGATGCTGGGGTCACTTCGGCTGCTGTCACTTCTTCTTCTGACGCCATGCCAACAACAACCAGAACTTCCGGGGCAAGCTCTCCACCAAGTCTGACGTCCAGCACAACGCCAACTACAACGTCGACTTCAGTATCCGACCAAAGGCCGAAATCGGCACCAAGTTCAGCACAGAGCTCTACAGCAAGTGCATCAT